AAAAAAAAAAAAAAATGGACAATAATCAGACAATTTTAAAGTTCAACGTTTTTTTTCACCTGACTAAATAGACACACAAAGGTGAATGTATTTTAATTTTGTTTTTTTTGTTGTTGTTGCTGTTGTTGTTCAGGTTTTTTCATTAATTACTTGAAACACCACGTTTAATATGAACAGATCCAATTTATCAACACTTGCCATTAATAATTTCGCGCATTGTTTTCAATGGACAAAAAAAAGGTGGAAAAAATCCCCCACAAACAAGACCAAGCCTGTATCAAAATGATGGCAGTCTGCCAAAAACGCGTGTTATTTAGATTTATTTTTTTTTGGATGCAGCAACAACAGAGCCAACCAGTTAACCGGTTGAATTTGATCATTGACTTGAAACAAAAAAATGGATCATCATCATAAACCGAAAAAAACAATTGGGTGATAATCGATTTTATCGCAATTATTAACACAAAACTAAAATTGGGAGAAGATTAGGACAAAAAAAAAGTTAATTACTTCAAAAAAAAACAAAAACAAAATATTTTAATTAAACAAAAATTAACGAAAAAAAAAATTGAAAGGACTTGACCACAAACTTGGTAGTAGTAGAGACGAACTTGAATAATTATCTCGATGTTGTTGTTGTTGTTGTTGTTGATGATGATGATGATGATGATGATGAAGATGATGAACAATTCATTAATTTATCTTTGACCAATACAATTAAAATTTTGTTTTTTTTAATCATCGTCATCATTCTAGATTATAGTCACACATCAACTGGCCACAACACAATAATCTTCATATATATATTTTAATTCACTACATGATAAAAAAAGAAGAATTTTTTTTTGATGAAAATCAAAAAAAAGATCTAGGCAATAAACCAATGATGTATGGACGAAAAAAATTATTATTAAATGAAATGAAATGAAATCTGAAAATGTGATGTGAATATGCACAACATTAGATAGAAACAAAAAAATGAATCATTTTTTTCAGTCAAAAACTAATCAATTTTGATTAATTATACACAAAACAAAAAAAAAGATGAATAGATAAATTATAATGAAAAAAAAAAAAATTCATCAACAACAACAACGATCAACATCAATTCATTCATCAATGAAATTGATCAGTGAATAACAAAACAAAACAAAACAGAAAAAAAATTGCCATGTAAATCTGTTGTGATGAAAAAAAAATGCACCAAATACAATTTTGTTGAACATGAAAGAGTTGAAAATTTTTTTAGTCATACAACAACAACAACGACAACAATAACCGGTGAATCACCATTGTGTGTGTGATTGAAACAATTTTGCTGTCAACTATTGATGATAACTTTATATTTTTTTTTGTCAGGGCTGAGCCCAAATTTTGTTTCATTTTGAAAAAAAACGGATTCATGAATTTTATTTTCAGTTTTACATTCAATGTTGAACGTTATTATTGATAACAATTTTCAATTATTAATAAATGAATGATGACATTTTTTTTTTTGATTTGCGTGTGTACATATATCATGGCGATCCAGAGATTCATTCGGGCTTGACATGACGTACCGTACACACACACACACACACAAACCCATTACAATGAATGAATGAATTGTCGTGATTATCTAACCCAAAATTTAATTTTTTTTTTTTTTTTTTTTGACAAAAAAAATGAATAAATTTCAAACCAACACCCAGAAAGATCGATTTTTGTTTTTTCGTCGTCGTCGTTGTTGTTGTTGTTGATATTTTGTTGCCAAACATGAAACAACAATAAATAGCAGGAAGAAAGAAAAAAAACTATGGATCCAAAAATGATAATGGGTTGGTGTATCATTTTTGAATTATAGTCAATTTTCAATCGATATTTATTTTATTGAAAATGACATGACAAAGTTTGTTGTTTTTTTTTTTTTTTTTTTTTGGAAAAACACAAAATTGCAAAACTTGTTTTTTGTTTGAAAATTATTTTGATTTTGATTGGAAAAAACATTTCATTTAATTTTTGAGTAGTAAATAAACAAATATCCACAAGATGATAAACATACGGATGTTTACCATTACCATTACCATAAATAAATAAATAAAAAAAAATACATTCAACACGAATTGTCGATCCATCAATCATTCAATCAATCGGTTTTTAATCCATCCATCCATTCATCCATTCATCATCAGCATCTGGAGAATGTGATCAAGCGATTAAAATTTAATCAAGTAAAATAATCAACAAAAAAAAAAAAATTATGAAAAAAAAATTCAAAATTTTGATGAATAATAATTAAGGTCAATTGCCCCGTTTGTCATCGCCTTATATAATTGAGAAACGAGAACAAATTTTTTTATTTGATAATCAAAATTTAAATCATCATCATCATCTATTTATTAATCATCATCGATTTTTCAATTCCTGTTTACAGTGGAAAAAAAATAAATAAAAAGATTCGTGATACACATTTTTTCACTGTTCTGCTTTGCTTTGCTTTGCTTTGTTTTGTTTGTTTGTTTGATGAAGATAAATGAACTCTTTGAGCATGGTTGTAGTGGTGGTGGTAGCAGTGGTGGTGGTGGTGGTGGTGAATGCTGCATACTTTTTGAGATGGCAGAAAAAAAACATTTTAAAATTATTACATTTTATCTCAAATATTCAATCTATTTTTTTGCTGTCCATTGACCATCCTTTCACATTCATTTTATGTCGGATACACGAGAAAAAAAATTGTCATTTTTAAATGTAACAATCTACAAACGACCACCTTTTTTCACACGAATTGTTACGGTCCAGTTGATGAAGATGATGTGTGATGTTTATTGTTTCAAACCTGAAGTGGTCTGTGGCCGCGAAAGAAAAAGAATGAGAAAAAACAAAACAAAAAAAAGGCGTTCACAAGATGTTTCGGTCAGTTGGTCACAGCTACGCTCGAATTACGATGACCAGAGTGTTATCTTTTTTTTCTCATTTTTTTTTTTTTTTTGACTGTTGTCAAAAACGGAAACGATGATAATAAACACACGAACGATGGGAAAATTTAAAATAAAAAATTTTTTTCAAAAAAAATCAAATCAAATCAAATCCATGAGAATTCATTGGAGAGAAAAAAAAAGTTTTTTTATTCATATTTTCTTTTTCACAAATAGTAATGGTTATAAATTAGAAATTATCGAATGTGATCAATTTAAATATCATAGTGTGAGGGTAGTGTTTGTTTTTTTGATTATTAATTGTTAAATCATTAATTTATCAATAATTAGGGAAAAAAATTGGAAAGCAATTTGTTTGTTTGGTTCATAATGGATGAGTAACAAACAAGCAAGCAGCAGCACAAGAGATACTGATGGTGTTTAGTGATAATGTACAAATCAATTCAATGATGTGAAATTGTAGAAAAAAATTTTAAAAACATTCAATCTGATCAGCATTGGATGATTGACATTTGTTCCATAAATGACGTTTTCTGATTTTTGTTTAGTCATCAAATGTGGCCATGTTTTTGAATGATTTTTGATTTAATTTAATTATAAAATCAATAAAATATATATAAATGGCTGTTAATGATACAAAACGACGTTGATCATGGTGATGATGATGATGATGATGATAATGGCAATAAATAAATAAAAATAATAAAAGTGAAAAATCAATGTGTGCGTGTGTGTGTTTATCAATCCCAAAAATTCAGTACACAAACATAACGAAAGAGAGAAAGAAAACAGACACTGAAAAAACAAAATGAAACAAGAAAAACAAGGAAAAAAAAAAAAACATTTCGGTGTGTGTGTGTTGATCAATCTGAAAAAATTGTCGCCTCTTTGAAAAAAAAAAATTGTCATCACTACTATAGTGAATACCACACAACAACATGGATAAGAAAATGAATCACGGATCATATCATCATCATCATCGTGAGATGCATCTTTAATTAATTGATACTTAATTTTTTTTGCATCATTTTAAATAATTCAATTTAATTAAAAATTTTAATGTTTCATGTCAATGTGAATACATTTGCCAGCGGCCAGTCTACATTGTCACAACAGTCTGTGTGTGTGTGTGTGTGTGGCTCTCTTTTCTTTTTTTTCTTCTATCCATCTATCCATCCATCCAGAAAGAAACAAAGATTTTCAATTTTGATACGATGTTACAAATGATGATGTTGATATGGCAGCGATAATTTTTTTTCAGTGTCAATCTCAAATAAACTAAACGAAGAAGAGAAAAAAACGATATTCGTACTTGTGAACAAAAAAAAAAAAAAAAAAAAAATACGTTTCAAATATATTCGGACTTATATATATATTAATAATTAAGAATCGTTTGAATGATGATATAATGATTCATGGATATATATAAAGAATGTGGATGAAGAAAAGTGATGACTTTTTTTTCACTTTATCCACAACATATTTACAGTGTTTATTATTTATGTGATAAGGTTATATAATAGCTATTTTGATGATTATGCGGTGATGATCACGGTAAATGAATGAATGAATGAGAATGGAAAAAAAACTATATGGATGTTGATCAGATTTCTAATATGATGATGATGATGATCGGTGTATAGGTGCCATATTCAGTGGCAGCAACAAAATGTCAAAGACATTGGAATTTTTTTTTTTTTTTTCATATTTCCGAACGTTAAAATTCAAAGTTTTTTCTTCTGTTTTAATCACCATCATCATCATCATCAATTTTATCAGGGATTTTTTTCTCTGAAAATTTTCCCTTGAAACAAGAAAATGAATTCCTCTGATTAAATCACAAATGTTTATATACAAAATATCTTTGTTCGTGTTCTTTGGTCCCTTACATTGATGACGATCATCATCATATGATTCAAATCAGCATTATCTGCTATGATTATTATGTATTATATGAACGAAAAACTTTACAACAACAACAACAACAACAAAAAAAGAAGTGGAAAAATCCATTTGATGGAATGAATGTATTGAACAAAAATCAATTTTCTTTTGTTTCAAAACTTTATTTATTTAACTTAGTTTTTTTTTTTTTGGCTAAAAACAAAAAAAAATTTCATTTTAGATGCATGAATGAATTGACATGGAATACAAACACATTTTGATGTAAAAAAAAAAAACATATGAAAGATTAGATTAGCGATTAGTAGTGGTGAAGATGGCTAATTTTTATAATAATAATAATAATAATAAGAAGAAGAAGAAGACTTGAATGAATGGAAAGAAAACAGAATACTGTCGACTGTGATGGTTGATGATGATAATGGACCATTTTTTTTTGTGACCAACATTGTCATCTTCAAGGAATGCGTGTGTATGTGGTGGGTGAATATGAAAAATTGATAGGGATGAAGGTGGTCAAAATTGCTCCGGACCATTGACGCAGATCTGTTTTTTGATAAGAAATGGAATTGATTTGAATTGATTGGTTGATTGATTGATTAATTTGGATTTGAAATTAAAAAAAAAATCACAAACTTACCAATGAAGCATTATGAGTGGTGGATTGTCCAGACGTCGTTACCGCTGTTTTTGTGGACGATGAATTGGTAATGGTAGTTGATTCTTGATTATGTTCATCATCATCATCAACATCACCATCATCATCATCATCTTCATCATTTTCTTCGGTGGTAACATCATCGTCAGCTTCGTCATCGTTATCAGGATTTTGTTGTTGAGTATTATTGCTATTATTATTATTATCTTGATTATTCTTGTCAGTTGATTCATTTGGATCACCAAACAATGTGGATATTGGTTCATCATCAATTTGTGAACGAGATTCATGATCGATACCAGTTTGTAGATTTAATGGTAAATCGATTGTGTTGGGCGTGATATGGCCACAATCATCATCGGATTGTTGCATTAAATTATTTTGTAATCGATGTTGTTTTAAGGTAGAAGAATCATTACCGATACGTTTTTTGATTGTCATAGATTTGCTGTTATTATTATCCAGACTATTTGATGATTTACAATTATTCTGATGAAACATACGTATATGATATAGACATAGTTCACGTGTACGAAATTTTTTATTACATTTGGAACAACGATATCGTTTATTTCGTGGTTTATTGCTATTGACCGATGATAAATCGATTTGTGCATTATTATTCATTGGTGATGTTGATTGGGCTGCATTTGGTGAAGGTGATAATGATGATGGTGATGTAAGCTTTGTATGGATCAACATATGACGATGTAATGAATGTGAATGTCGATAGTTACGATTACAATGTGGACATGTGTATTTTTTCGTAACCTCTTTACCAGTGTTGAAATCTATCGGCGATTCACTTCGACTAGAATTATTCGGTTTTTCATTCATCATATTACCGCCGATTGTATTGAAAATAGTGGATAATAATTGATTTGAAATCATTGGATTATTAAGATCATGATGATTATTATCAGATGTATTTGTTGCAGCAGCAGCTGCTGCTGCTGCTGTTGCGGCCAATAACCCAGGATTTTTAAGTAAAAGATTTTGAAATGCTGGATTCTGTAGAAATGATAATGGATTGTTACTGTTGTTGTTGTTGTTGTTGTTATTGTTGCTAGGCAAACAATCATCAATATCTTCTTTTTCTTTAGGCGATATAGCCGGATATGAATGTGGTGGTGGTGGTGGTGGTGGTGATGTCGATGGTATTGAATGTGATGATGATATTGTTTCATTATGATCTGCTGTTACCATGTTGTTGTTCATTGATAAATCGGAAACGGCACTATTAGTTTTTGGATCAACTGATGCAGCTGCAGCTGCAGCCATCATAGCGGCCATCTTAAAATTGCCAGCTAAACTCATTGCCATCTCTTCCGATGTAGTTTTATGTTCTTTCATTAGATGCATTTGCATCGTAATCGTATCGGTAAATGTTTGACCACAAATTAAACAAAGACGACCACTGGTATCAATCGTTGATGTTAATGGTGCTAAATCATTTCGATGCATGATTGCTAATAATTCACCATGATCATTGAACATATGTGCTTTAAGCCATTTTATCGATTTAAAACGACGATCACAAATATGACAAATTTCCTGATAACCAGTACCACCACTACTTGATTTATTATTATTATTGCCTGTTGTTGTTGTTGTCGATTGATGATTATCATGATGATGTAATTGTGGTGAATGGCCACGATTGGAATGTTCTTTTTCACTGTTCACTGAACCAACACTATTTGTATCGCTAGCCACACTATTAGAATCATTGGCCAATGAAGACATTAATAGCAATGGATTCATAGCCGACATTCGTTCATTGGATCCATTATTATTCAACATATTGGCCGCTACTTGTGACATCAATTTATTGGCTTGATGATGATGATGATGATGGAATGTTGGTCCAAGCAATACCGGTGCACTACCATCTTCATAAATTCCATGGGTATTTTGTTTATGAACTTTGAGAAAATATTTACTACACAATTCTTTTTGACAAATGTCACAGGTAACACCGCCAATCGTACTATTCGATGTTGCTTCAATCGGATGTTCGTCAATATTTATTCCATGCATTTTTAACATGTGTGTTTTCATAAAATACTTGTTACATAATTCTTTATTGCAAAAATTACAATAATTCCGTCCGGTTATGATTGAAGCACGATTTTTTAGCTGCCCTGATTGATGTTGATGATGATGATGGTGATGATGATGAGTAAGATGTTCACCAAATGAGCCGGGTACAAAACCGGCAGCCATTGCAGCTTTTATCGTTTCTGCAAGTGTTGTTGCATTGTCGTTGTTTGAGGATGAAAATTTCGTTTCATTATCATTATCGTTATTAGTGGCCGTCGTTGGATTATTTGCCGATTGTGATCGTTGTTGTTGATTTGTTGGTGTTGTCGATGTTGATGAAGAATTTGATGGTGATGAAAGTTCGGATTTTGAAAGAACATTTTCACCGAGTGCTTGACTTATGGCGAGATTCAGACTCTCTAATTCGGTTGATGTTTTCATTGCGGCTGCTGTTCGTTGATAAAATGAATTCAATAAAGATGTTGGCGATGAAAACGAATTTGTCGTAGTCGTCATTGTTGTTTCGGTTGTTGTTGTCGATGATTTTGATGAATTTATTGGTCGATGTTGAGATGGCGTTGTCGGCGCCGATGATGATGACATTGTTGATGGTGGTGGCGGTGGTGGTGTTGGTGTTGGTGAATCACTACTATCAAAAATTCCATGAATATTTTGTCGATGTGTTTTAAGAAAATATTTGCTACAAAATTCTTTGCTGCAAACATCACAGAATGCTTCCGATGATAATGACGTTTCAGCATTTAATAATGATGATGACGAATGTTGTTGTTGTTGTTGTTGTGTTTCCTGTTGTTCAAACAAAAATGATTTCATTGCCAATTGATGATCTGATAATTGTTGTGAAAATGTTTCATCACCAACACCATGTTCGGTGATAAGGTGTGCACGAAATACATATGGATTATCGCATTGAAATTTACATAGATGACATTTATTATTATTACGATGATGATGATGATGATGATGATCATTGTTGTTGTCACTTTTCATTATTTCACCATCTTCATTACCGTCATTATCATCATCATCAATCATCATAAGATGTTCATCAGAATCATCCAATTCTTTAATCATTGAATGAAGTTTTCGTAGATCATCACTTGATTGATGATCAACATTTGATGATTCAGAATTTTTTCTCCGATTTATAGGTGATGACAATGTTTCCATTGGTTCGTCAGAATCAGAATCATCACCACATTCGGTTATATCGGATTCAGCACGAACTGGTTTTTCATTTTGATCAATTTCATCATCCTGAATTTTAAGAATATCGGATGAGTCAGAATCTTTGACCACTTCTTCAGTATCCATTCGGCCAGAATGATTGCCATCGCCATCATCGTTATTAGGTCGTATAAATGGTATATTATGTGCATAGAATTTATGCATTTTGAGCAAATGATTATTATGAAATTGTTGTTGACAATGGTCACATTTAACCATTGTTTGACCATCGATCATTGAAGAATTGGCCATAATTGATGCAAAACCGTTTAGAAAATCGCTGCCATTTTTACCATAACTAGTTGGATCACGTTGACCAGGTTCAAGTTGATTATCATCATTAGAATTATTATTATTATTATTACTGTTATTCGTGTTGGCGTTGGTAAATATTCCTGGAAAACTACTGTTTTGATTGTTGGCCGATGAAATTGGGCTGCTATTCATAGCTGTTGCTGTTGTTGATGATGATGTCGCCGACGACGAACCACCACTCATAGCAAACTTTTGTTGCTGTGCAGCAAAAAAACTATTGGCACTGTTACTTGTACCGGATATCATTGTCGTTGGTGTATTACATTGTTGCTGTTGATTTAGATTAACTGGTTGATGATTAGGAAATTTTCCAATGACCGGTTGGCCATCCAAAATTCTGTGTTTATTAATTTTATGTGTACGTAGAAAATATTTATTGCAAAATTCTTTACAACAAATCTCACAGAATGCTTCAGTATTAATGACGCCCATCTGACGAAGCCGTTCAGGCGTCAATATAAGCTGTGATGGATTTGGAAAATTTGGTAATCCAATATTGGCCGCTGTAATAACATTGGTCGTATCATTTGAAATGCCAGCATTTGATGGTGTTGAAGTTGTGGCTGTATTGGCATTCTATACAAACAAAACAAAACAAAAAAAATATCAAGGACATAAAAAAAACAAATAGACAGGAAAAATGAAAATTTTAATTTTCAAATTAAAATTAATTAGAATTTGATTATAATCATAACCGGAATTGAAAAACAAAGTCAAGGTTAACAAACACTTACCATTAAAATTGATTTATCATTCGTATTATTATTATTATTAATCATCATCGATGATGACGATGAGAGACCAGATGGTGAAGGACTAGTTGTTGTTCCTGTATTATTGCCGGAAACAGAATGCTTCATATCTCCGGAAATATCACCATTATTGTTAATGATGGAATTTGATTGTTGTTGATTGGCTGCTGCAAGATTCATTTGTTGCTGTTGATGATGATGATGTTGAGCTGCCAATTGTTGATGTAACATTTGTAATTGTTGCAATTGTTGCATTTGTGGTGAATTCTGACTAGGTGGTATTGGTGTATCACCTTGATACACAAATCCATGTGTACGTTGTTTGTGTTTTTTCAGAAAATATTTATTACAAAATTCTTTCTGACATATTTCACAATATGAATCCAAATTGATCATATTCATATTAAGACTAAGACGTAATGGTGGCTGAAATGGTTGACCAGGTAATCCACCGCCAATACCACCACCATTCAGAAGTAAACCACCACCACCACTATTATGGTCAGATGATTTCATTGATTGTGTTGAATTTGTCATCATCGCATTGTTGTTGTGGCTGCTGCTGCTACTATTCGAGGTAGATAATGGAAACAGTGGATTTGAACCTGATTGCTGCTGCTGTTGTTGTTGGCCATTATTACTGCTGCTATTACTGTTGGAACTTTGATTCTGGCTATTATTTTGATTGTTGCCATTATTATTATTATTATTAGCAGATGAACCAGTAGACGTACTGCTACCGTTGTTGTTTGTTTCCGGTGTATAGATATTATGTTTATTAGCTTTGTGCGTTTTAAGAAAATATTTATTGCAAAATTCTTTGTTACATAATTCACAATATGCTTCCGGATTAAAAATTCTTGGACCAGAATGTTGTGCCATAACTGGTACACCATTTATGATTGCACTAGGCGTTGGAAATGGGCTACCGGATGTTACCGAGGTTGGAACATTGGAACCCGGAAACATGTGTGAAAAAAAGAATGGAGCCATTGAATTTGAGAATAATGATTGTTGATGTTGATTATTAATCAAGCCAGGTGATTGTTGTCTACTACTGCTACTACCACCACCAACACCAATAACACTAGGTGATTCCGATGTCCTTGGAATTTTTGGTTCCGGTGATGATGATATTCGTGTGGATGATTGAAATTGTTGTTGTTGCTGCTGCTGTTGCTGTTGAGATGTCAATGATGGCGATGGTAATGAATGACGATGAAATAATTTATTACTACTATTACTACCGGCTGCATTCGATGTCAATGACGAGATCAATGGATTCAATAGGTTTGGTGGTAAATTTAATCCGGATAGAATGTTTAGATCTTTGGAACGTAACAATGATGATGATGATGATGATGATGATGTAGCTTGTTGTTGATTGTTGAGATGATTACTACTCGCATTAGATATTGTCGTCGTTGTGGTTGAGTTAATAGATGATTTATGATGATCATCAATATGATCATAGAATGATGATGGAGATTTACGATGATGATGATGATGATGATGATCACTATTATCACCATTAATCGATGATGAATCACCCACTACATTATTAGTATCATCACTAACACAACCACCATTATTTGATGAATTTGTCGAACAAATCGATTGATTCGATGGTGATTGTTTACGTTTATGTCGTTTCGATGTAAACACATTTGATATGTGATGAAGATGTTCTGTATTTTTTTCAAATGATTAGATAATGAAATTAATAAATCTTTTGAATGAATAGATAGCATTTTGTATGAAAAAAGATACTAACCATTATATTGATGATGACTATTCAATGAATGGCCGGAACCAGAATTCAGGACATTCGATGGCGATGTTGATGATGATGGTTGTGGGAATTTATGTTGCTGCATATGTACGAGATCGATATGAGCACGTAATTGATCTTCATTGGCAAATGGACCATTACATTGTGGACAGATAAATGTTGTTGATGATGATGATGATGATAATAATGGCGATGATGAGGATGATGGTGTTAATTTTTGTTGTGATGACCAACAATCATTAGCAAACATTTCAAATTGTTGTTGTAGAAATTGCAGCTTCTGTTGTTGATTATGATTATGTTTCTCTCTGGTCATCATCATCATTTCAGCTGCTGCTGCTGCTGCTACGGATGCCGCATTTAAATCTTCCACAACATTTTTTGATGATAATTTTGTAGCTGCTGCTGTCTCTTGAATGGCAACGACTTGTTCCAATAGACGGCTACGATTACTATGATGTTGATGATCATCGTCGTCGTCTTCATCAACATCACGATGGTTGTCTCTTTCATCATCATCATCATCGTCGACTATTTCATCAACTAAATCTTCAACATCATCATCATCTACAACGAAATCATCCACTAACTCACCATCCTCAGCAATGTTAAAGTTCTCGTCACAATCCGATGATGATGAAGCAAGCTTGTGTTGTTGAAGTTGGGGATGCCGAAGTCGTCGTCGTTGTCGTTGTCGTTGCTGCTGCTGCTGTTGTTGTTTTTGTTTTAATTTTATTTGCTTCTCTTTATTTTGAAATAATAGTTTCTCTTTCGTCGTCGTCGTTGATTTTTGCTGTTTATTCAGGAGCAATGGTGGTGGTGGTGGTGGTGGTGGCAATAACAAATTGTCGCCATCATCATCCACATTCATTATTGGATTGATATGTTGTTGCCGTTGTTGTTGTTGATGTTGTGATAATTTTATTTCATTACGATGACGAATTTTTCGGCGGCCATCCTCATCATCATTAACATGATCATGATCTTGATTATCATCTGCATCATCATCATCATCATCTTCACGATCGCCAGGAATACGATTATTGGTGGTGTTTGTGTTGGTACCATATTCATAACGTACCGGTTTACTTTGTTTTCGTCGTTTTTTACTATTATTTGTATCAATCATATGATTTGATGATAATGATGATGGTGATCGTTGATTGGAATTAGGATTATGATGATGATCCTTATAATCATTGTGACTATCATTATTTGTTGATGATGATGATGACGATGATGATGATGCGGATGATGAATTTGATGATCGTCTTGAATTATTTTGAATATTATTATTGACAAGATTGATCAAAGTTGGTGCCATTGATGCTAATAATTGTTCCTGTTGTATTGCAATCGATTCGTTTCCTGTTGTAGCTGCAGCAGCCATTGTTGCTGCCATTGCCACTAATAGCTGACTTTGTTGTGCAACCATTTCATCTTGTACATTTGCACCGATTGCTCCCTGTATACAGGTTAGAATTTTAGCTAAACGATTAGCCATATCGGTTGTTTGATTATTGTTAATATTCGTATCTGTCGTTGTTGTGATTAAGGATGATAATGACTGAGAATTCGTAGTGTCAGCGGCAGTACTAGTTGTAGTCAACTTTGTCTTTGTCATTGTAGTTGCAGCGGAAGAAGTTAGCATATTTTTTTCCATTGTCATCATCATCATATTCGTTGGAGAGAATTGAACATTTTCATCCACATTAATATCATTGTTGGCACTAGTTTGTTGAAGAGATTCTTGTTGATTTGGAATGATGTAGTCATCATTATTATTATCATTGTCATTATCACCAATTTTGTTTGACATCAATCGAGAATTATTATTGTCTAATTGACATGATGGTGATGGTGGCGTTGGTGGAGGTTGTGGTGGTGGTAATGGCGTAGGCGGAACGTTATTCACCGTACCCACAGAATTATTATTATGTTGTGTTGTCATTGTTGGTGATGATGATGATGATGATGATGATGATGATAATGGCAATTGTGGTGCTGTATGTGATGGAGTCGGATCCATAGAATCCATCATCATGATCATCTTATAATAATAATTTTAATCTGATTTGATTTAATAAAATAGCAGCAGCACACATGAATAATTAATGATAGCGAAGAAAAAAAAATGAAAAACGAATATGGAACGAAACATTAACAACAAACAAACAACAACAACAACAACAACAAGTGAACAAAAGCTGAACACACCCACAATAGTCTTTTTTTTTTTTAAATTGCGAAGAGAATTTAATTTGATTTTCAATTGATAATATTGATATAATGATGAGATTATGAATGAATGAATGCTGGGGGGATTAGATTGGTTATTATTCAATGATGATGATGATGATGATGATTAATGCTGATCACTATTTAATTTTGATTTTCGGTTGTAAAATTTTTTTTTTTTTTTGATTTGCGTTTCAATATATATTTGTACGTTGTATCAACGTTGAAGAAATAAAGACAAAATTTTTCGATTATAAAGTTTATATATAAATGAATGAATAAAGAGAAAAACTTTAAATTGGTATCAATCGAATTTTGTTTTTTTTTTTTTTTGTCTGTTTGATAATTTTTTTTTTTTTTGATTGATTGATCGATGATTGATGATAAATTTTTCAATAAATATGAGTGATTTTTCTCAGGAAATTTTTTTTTTCGTCGGTTATCTTTGTCAAGTGAAAAAATTTTTTTTTTGATTAAAATTTTTCATTCACAATTCAAAACACACACACACACACATAGACACTGTGTTATTGTCGTATTCCAATTCAAATTGATCTGGCTGAATGTGACTGAATTTCGACTGTCAATTCTTTGTTTGTTGAAGAGTAGACAAAAAAAAAGTGTGGAGAAAATTGCTACTTGAAGACCGTTCATCATTCATCCAATAATAGTAATAGTAAGAGATGTGAAGACGGATGGTAAAGAAATCCAATATGAAAATGAGATTGACTGACTGTTGTGTGTTGTTCATTCATGATTAGTCAATGAGAATTCATGATATCAAATTCCATAATTGATACAATTCATAATTATTGGTTGAATTGCATGTATGTATGATGTTTTTAATCTGTTTGAAAATTTGATATGCTGCTAATATGATGGCCATAATCATTGATTGAAAGATCAAAAAAAAAAAAAATATCAACTACACATACACATTTATCGATTATTGTTGCTGTTATCGGATCTTGACTTCTGATGATTCTTCTTCTTCTACTTTTTTCTTGGTAGTTTTTTGTTTCATTCGAAATTTTATTTTTTTTCGATGTTGAAATTTTTTTCAATCAATTAAAGAAAGAGAGAGAGAGAGAGAGACTAGAAATACAATTAGAGGCTGTTGCTGTTATCAAACTTCTTCCGTATCGCTCGTATTAGGTTGAAGGATGCGAGAAAGTGAAAAATTTTTTTTTTTTTTGAAATGAAAAAAAAATGTATCAAATTTACCAGATTGAATTGAATGAATCAATTTTCATTCGATTTATTTGCTATGAAATTGAATCAAATCTTCATGATTAAAAATTGATAATGTTCGATTAGAAATGGTTGATGTTTGTTTGTTTGAAGAAAAAATTTTTCAACATTTTTTTTTATTTTGTTTTTGTTTTTCTTCTCATTCGATTTGATCCAATCAATAAATCAATCCATCAAAAAAAATCAAGTATCGATTCACAATAATAGACTAATAGGATTTCGTTTGTTTGGCATTTTTTTTTTATTTTTTTCGTTGTTGTCGTCTTTTTTTTTCATTCAAGATAAATAAATAAATAAATAAATAAAATTCATTTCAAGTTGGTCGGATTTTAGTTTGTTTTTTTTTCACTCATTCATTCATTCATTCAAACATCAAATCATCATTTTTATACATTTTATAAATCAAGAAACAGAAATTATTTTGCTGACGGCTGTAGAGTTGAGAGTCAGTGTGTGTGTATTTGAGAGGGACAATTGATAATGATTTGAAATGAAAAAAAAAATTTTTTTTTGGGAAGCAATAATTTTTTACATTGAATTTCGCAATAATCATTGTTGAAAATGGCCTTGAAATCAATTTTCAAAATTCATTGGAAACAAGAAATTGGCAAATTTTTTTTTTTTTTTGATCTCAATTTCATTCTCTCATTGCCTGTTGTCGTTGTAGTTGCTGCTGCCGTTGATGTTGTTGTTGTTGTTGTTGTTGTAAAAAGAATTTCAAATTCAATAAAATTTCGACAACAACAACAGAAAAAATATGATTTTCTGTTATTTATCCTTTGCGAATTTGAGATGTTCAAAACACATAGAAAAATTTTTTGCATTTAAAGGAGTGTTAAAGCAGGCCAGCCAGAAAAGAATGAAAAAACGAATTGCTGTAAATCTCGATCGATTGAATTTTTATTTTTATTTTTATTTTTTTTTTTCGTCTTATTTCAAAAAAAACACACACACACACACTGTTCGTGTGTACAAGTGTGTATGTAACAAAAATGATGCGAGAAAAAAAATCAAAGTCCGATTTCTATCCAATTTAGATTTTTTTTTTCATTTCATTTCATTTCTTTTGATTTCAAATCTTCATTGATGAAAAAAAAATTTTTATAAAAAAAATTATTATTAATTTCAATATCGATGAGTGTGTGTCTATGATTGGCTGATTGATCAATTGATCATTGATTGATTGATTGATTGATTGATTGAAAACACTAAAAACTGTAACTCTGTTATTTAGTGAACCAAATTTTTTTTTTCGTTTTTCTGTCAATGTTTTTGGTGGATGGAAAAAAAATGAAAAATAAAAATTTTTTTCCTCCCCCACCACCAGTAATCAAATTGATTGAAAGATATATGGCGATATTGATGATGAAAAATTGATTATTTTTTTTCTATGTTTTTCAACCAAAAAAAAAAATCAAATATCAGAACACGTCTTTATTTTCATCATCATGATCATCATTTATGTAGCGGTGGTATATATATATATGTATTAATGTTTCAAATTTCTGATAAATCTTGGTGCGAAAACGAAAAACTTGAAACACTTTTTCGACTTTTGATTGTTAATAAATGGAAAAAAAGTTGTTTTTGTTGTTGTTGTTGTTGTTGTCGTTGAATGCTATTTGGTTAATAATACGATGATGATGATGATGATGATTGTATGTGCAATAATTTTTTTTCCAGTGAAATTTGATTGAATTTTTTTCTGGTTTTTTTTCTCCCATTCACTGATGACAATTTAACCAGATATACTATTTTTTTCAATTGATTATTCATTGAATTTTCACATCATCAACAATTGGTACTATTTTTGGATTTTCTTCTGGTTGGTGCGAATTGTTATCACGTAGTACCGGTTGATTTTGATTTTTTTGTTGTTTTTTTTTTTGTTTTGTTTTTGCACTGAATTTACCCGATTTTTTTTGGTCAAAAAAAAAAATTTTTGTTGTCGTCGTACGATGATAATGTGCTGCGATGGTTGATGTTGATGTTGCTAAGGTTTTTTTTTCTCTTATTTTCAATTGAAAAACGAGAAAGAAAAAAAAACTGGAATCGAATCAAATTATTATGAATATAATAACAGCACACATATATATCGATGATGATGATGCGATGGGAAATCGAAAAAATTTTCCATTATTTTTTTTCCATCAAACTTGTTGATTTCATTTCAACATTAAACATTTGCACAGATCGTGATTTATGTCATACGTATATATTCCTTGTTGTTGTTGTTGTCGTTTGTTCATTATTCGATCCATTCAAGATTATGCCGGATTTATTCATTCATTCATTCATTCATTTTGGTCGATTATAATGATGATTGAGCAATAATCGTTGTTTAAAAAGATGAAATATTTAAAAAATAAAATTGATCATTACACACAACACACATATATACACAAAAATAGTCATATAAGAACCAGGATTTTGTTTTTTTTGCAGAAAAATTTTCGCCGATTGACTTGATTTTTCTCTTTCGATCGATGATAGAATTGGTAGAATGTCGATCAATCAATCATAAAAAATGATATTTTTTTTTTTGCTGAAGAAAAATAAACAAACCGGACACACACACACACACACACACACACACAGATTGGACAATTTGATGAATGAATAGCAAATAATCAGCAGCCAGTGTTTAAGCAATTTATTTGGATTGAATGAAAATTTTGTGGAGATTAACCTGATGATGATGATGATTGTTGTTGTTGTTGTTGTTGGGCTAAACCCGAAAAATATTTGATTCAATTGTTTCCGTTTTTTATTATTATCATCATTATATAATCAGAATAAATGGACAATTTAACACTTTTGCTGCTTGTTTTTTTTATATTTGTTGAATTTGATGATTCACAAAGATTGTTGATTGAAGAGTAAGGTGAGGTTCACAAACTAATGACAATGTGATGATTGTTGGCTTTCTTTTCGGTTGTTTTGCCACCAGTTTGAACTACCTGTATGCACGAAAAAAAATGAGAAAAAAAATGGTTAAATTTTACATTTCTGGAAACTACCACCATTATATTTATTAATGATGGCAGACAAAGTGAAGAAAAATGATTTTTTTTTCAAAGTCAATATCATTTGGTTCAATCAGCTCTTCATCTTTCTCTCACCAAAAACCATCTTTATCATCATCACCCAAAAAAAAACATGTGTCAACAACCACCGTGTTGACCAATGACCAAATATTGATGAATTTATTATCTATCCACCATTATCATCATCATCACAAATAACTTTAACTTTATCGACAAAAATGAGAAATTTTTTCATGTTTTTCCGATTTTTCGTGACTAAAAATTCACGACTTGTTGCTGAAAATCTGGCAACATCAGCAGCAGCAGCAGCAGCTAAAACGAAAATCTGAAGAATAACTTATGAAAAACAACAACAAGAGATAATCTCTGACAGATTTTCACCCAAAAAAAAAAAGAATTTCATTCACAAAATGTTATTTTTTCCAATAAAAATATCTCAATCTTTTGATACTTTTTTTTCATTATTATTATTATTATCAACTGGTTTGACCGATCACGAAATTATTCGATTGATAATTTCATATTTTTCTTTATCATGAATTTTATACAATGTTTGACTGTGTGTGTGTGTGTGTGTCAGTGTTTATGTTGAATTGAAATGAAACAGGAAAAAAAAAAAAAATACGAGTATGGATTTGGCCATCACCAAAAATGAATGTTTACTGTGAAAGGCAGATATATATAGAAGATGATACAGAAGCTTTATAATATTGGATTTTTTTAAAAATGATGATGATGATGATGATAATCATCAT